GTAGATTTGCTATTACAAGTACCTTTAATAGTAAAATTGTGACTTTGTAACTTGTAATTTTCGTGAAACTTACAATATCAATTACTATTGCAAACTGGGATTGTTTTATATAATAAATAAAATAAAATATATTTTTAGTACACAGCAAAAGGTTTATTAACACAATATAAAAGTGGAAAGTAAAGTAAAGTAGTAACACATATTATATTAAAATAATATAACGAATTTTTTTTAATTGCCTCTTCTTCGATTTATTATACACAAATAAATTTATTTTTACCAAGCAAGCAAAATTATTTCCATTTTTTTCGGGGAATTTTTACTCCTTCTGCACTTGTTTAGGGATATAAAACTAAGGCAGCAGTTAAAATAAAATTACATACATATTCACGACTATTTTCCTAGATCTTCGCTTCCATCTGTTTTAGATTCTTTAAATGAGGTATAATCACAAACATTTTTTAAACCTGCGTCTAAAAACATGTTTTTTTTTTTCCTTGTTTAATAAAATAAGTTACTTTTTATTTTAAAAACTAAATTTGCAATTCAGAATCAATACCAAAAGATTTCCAGTAAGCACCAAACAGTCGGCCACCGCTCGGCAGACCTACTAACCGTCGGCCGCATTTCGGCCGATTTCGGTTAGTAACCGAAATCGGCCGAAATGCGGCCTGCCGCGGCATAAGCTATACGTCTCACGGCTGCTTGCACACGCGAGCTAACTATAAATAGGGATGGGTTACATTATTTAGTTGGATGTGTGCATCTGTAATGGCACAGCTGGACAATAATCGTTTTGTTTAATAATATAAATAGCTATTTACATACCATGGGAGGAAAATAGTGCTTTTCCCCCCGCGAATAGTTTGATGCCCGACGCGAAGCGAAGGGCATCAAATATTCAAGGGAGGAAACGCATTTTCCTCCTGAGGTATCTATATAGTTTTTTCTATTACCTTTTATCGGTTTTAAGACATTTTAAGGGTTCTGGTTCCTTTTAATAACCCGGTATGGGGCTATAAAATTATGACAAAATATTAAGTAGGTGTTGCATCGCCGACGTTATGTTGACAACGCTTTGTTGCTATGGTATTTTTGGTAATACAAAAATAACAGTTTTTATAAGCTGTCGGAAAGTTTATCATAAATTTGAAATTCTTCCTACGTTTTGAAAATGAGTTCTACCGAAGAAGACCTGCTGTAAGATCTTGCTAAAGAGGCAAGAATAGTTTAATTAATTAATTAATTTCCTTCCTTAAAAATCGAAAGAGCGATATGAAAATAAATATAGTTTGTTAAAAGAATGGTTGGACAAGCGCGGAGTAAATCTTTTTCCTACAAAATCAAATAGGGCTAGACAAGGTATAAAAACTCTTGCTAATGTAAAATTGTTAAAAAAAAGAGGGAGGATTTTTTTTCCTTCCGGGGAGGGATTTTCCTCCCTTGCTTGGGGGAGGAAAATTAAGTTTTCTAATAAGGTAGTAGAAAAAATTATTTTTAGGGACGTGCAATGAATATTAAATGATATACAAAAAAAGATTCCATTAACTATGTATAATAAACGTTAACGCCCAGTGAAATAAGTTAATTAACAAGTTTTTGTAAAATTTAACTCAAAATTAATATAATATACGAATCATAATTCGTAACAGTTTAAATGCCTACTTAAATGAAAAACATAACTGGCCTACTGACGTTAGTATTAAAAAAGTACTGTTGGTGTTTTTTAATTTTTTGGTTACAAAACGAATTAAAATATTATATATAATAAAAATTAAAAACTATAACGGGAATACTAAAAAAGTATATGTATTCTTTTCCTAGATATAGTTACCATACAATCTTTCGGATATTATTATTATTATTAATAATAATTATAATATTAAAAAAAAATTTCACCATTTCACTTATGATCAAAATCGATAATTAATGGGTTCCACTCAAAAAATAAAAAACGTATATATATATATATATATATATATATATGTATATATATATATATATATATATATATATATTAGGGTGTGCCAAAAAACTCGATATTTTTTTTTCTTGCTCTCCACCCAAAATATCGTAGAATATGTCCGAACAAATATTCTATTAAAAGCGGAGCTCATAATTTCAATTTTAAGAGGTCCCTCATCGAATCTGAAGTTTTGCCGCTTAAATAACACAGAAAACTGACTTTTTTACCTTATTTATTCTTGCAACCTAGGACAAAATTTTTTTTTAATAAAATGCATGACGAATTCTTACAAAGCATTAAATTTGGACAAAAAATCTTATTAAGCCGAATTTCTATTTTCATTATTTGATTTTTTACAGAGCTTTAAATTTAAAGTTAATAATACAAAAATGATGAATTTATACGCCTGTAACTTTTAGAATATTGACGATACAAAAAATTCGCCTAAAACTTTTTTGTGCTCCATCAGACAAGCTAAAAAATTGCCATTTGACTTTTTCGTCTAACTTCAATAGTTTAGCTGAAAAAGGCAAAAAACGTAAAATTTTAAACTTAAAGCTCTGTAAAAAATCAAATAATGAAAATAGAAATTCGGCTTAATAAGATTTTTTCGTCCAAATTTAATGCTTTGTAAGATTTGGTCATGGATTTTATGAAAAAAAAATTTCTTCCTAGGTTGCAAGAATAAATAAGGTAAAAAAGTCAGTTTTCTGTGTTATTTAAGCGGCAAAACTTCAGATTCGATGAGGGACCTCTTAAAATTGAAATTATGAGCTCCGCTTTTAACAGAATATTTGTTTAGACATATTCTACGATATTTTGGGTGGAGAGCAAGAAAAAAGAAATATCGAGTTTTTTTGGCACACCCTAATATATATATATGTATATATATATATATATATATATATTTATATATTAATGGTTTTCCGGGATCTGCTCCATGTTGATGGTTTTTGGTACAATCTCATGTACCATATTCAGGTCTTATCTGCTGGGCTGCTGTTACTTCTATGCTGCGAGTCAGACGTGGAGTGAGCTGCGTTGCCGCTGGTCGTTGTTTATATACTCTCTTTCCTTTATATACTCGCTTTCCGCGTGATTAACCGTGTCCGCGATTGAACCTGTGTTGTGTCCTCAAGCTTAACTGAACTAAACTGCGCACCACTCAATGTGTCGCGACCAAAAAGTTCTACCTTTTTTAAAACGACATCATTTTGGTATGTGATGTCTGCTAGACCCATCCTCTGGCAATTCATGCTATAGATATGAAGCTCACGGTTCTTCAAGTAAATTTCGTACAGGGTGATATGTAAAACGGTAAAAAACTTCATTCAAGCCCCGTTTGAAAAAAGAAATATTTTGTCTCGTTTTTACTTTGAAATAATGAAGTATTATATCTTATCTTGAAAAGGTTTTCAAATTTTTCCAATTGGAATCTTACCAACGAAAATATGATTTTTTTCCAAAAGAGTACATCTAAGGGGTTTTGGTAGGCATTACACTCACTAAACAAGCGACAAGCAACAAACTTCCATTATTTTCAGAGGGGCCTAAGCAAAGACCACTTTTTCAAAATAACATTTTGGTGAAAATTTGAGAAAACTAAACCTAAAGCGGTATTTACGTTCGTGACATGTTTTCTTTATAATTTTGACCTCCTGATTGTGATTCAGTTGTCAAATTTAAGTTTTAGATAAAACCAAAATCACCAAGAATCAAGATTCGAAAACAAGTCCCGGCTGTTAAATGTCTCAATAAAATACGATTGCTGGTTTTTTTTATTTGTTTTGCATCTTTAGTATGTTATTATCATGTCGCTGAATAATCAAATCGAGGATCAAATGAAAATTAATTCTTGAAAAACATTTAAAACCCATTATGAGGGATATTCTTGATTTTTTCAGTTTGGTTGTGTTTTTTAAAATTTCGAAGTTTTTTTGCATAAGTTATACCTCCTTGTCGCTTGTTCAGAATTATTTAAGGAACATTATTTCACCATCTTAACTTCTTGTTCCTAAAAAGGCTGAGTGTATTGCCTACAAAAAAGCCTTAAATGTACTCAGTCAATTTTCTTAGTTTCTTTAAGAAACTTTCTTGACCCATTACTGGTAATATTCATAAGAAAAAATTGAACCTACACCTCGCCAAAGTTTTGAAATTCGAAAAATTTTAAAAACGCTACAAGGTAAGACATAATACTTTATTATTTCAAAGTAAAAACGAGAAAAAAATTATTTTTTTACAAACGGGGCTTGGATGAAGCTATTGAAATCTTTCACCGTTTAACATATCACCCTGTAGGAAATTTACTTAAAGAACCGTGAGCTTCACATCTATAGCATGAATTGCCAAATGATGAGGCTAGCAGACCACACAGACCAAAATAAAATAGTTCAAGAAACAAAAAAGTTATGTCGTTTTGAAAACGAACGAACTTTTTGGCCTCGACACATTGAGTGGTGCGCAGTTTAGTTAGAAACTACAATCTAGAGATCTAAGAGATAAACCATGACCTTCGAGGTCCATATCTTTCAGGAAAAGAACCCTAAGACGGGCGTTAAAGTCTCCCTGAAAAACCTTCTGGTCATTGTCTTCAGCCGCCGAAGAGGAACTCTTCAGCACTGAACATCCTGCATTTCAGCCGAAGACATCCAAAAAGCACTTCTTCGGCACTGAAAATCCTGAAAGGTAATACATGCCTTTGGGGAATTTCCGTGCTTGCATTGTTGCTTAATTTAGATTACAAGATAAATTAACTTTATATAATGTAAAGTACAAGTAAACAAAGTTTTTAGACATTTCCATAACAAGGCCAGACCTAAAATGAAAAGGCATGAAACCCTATATGTATGTATTGAAACAATAAATTTTCCAAAGCTGTTTTGCGAAGCTTAAAGAATCCTTGACCCACCGAGACGCCAACTTAAACTACAACAAAATATTACTATTAAATAATTATTTTTAATTTATTTTTTTAAATTCTGAAGCCTTTATATGGGAGTTATTAAGGTTAATAACCATTTGCTTGTTTTAGGTTGGAAGTGTACAGAAAACAAAATACGAAAATGACTCTTTATCGAATTCAAGTCCAGATGTTGAAGCCCGGGAGGTAGAAACAGAGGAATTAATAATTTCGCCAATACCTAAAAAGAGTACAGGAATACTTTTAAAAATATCAATACTTTTACAAAAAATATGCAGTACCCATCAATTTAAAAATGAACAGGTAATTTATATTTTATTTTTAATTTAAAACAAAAGTCTAGTTACCAAGATATACCAAAACAAAACAAATCTGAATGCCTTATAGACGCGTGATCACCTTTAGCAGGTGGTTTTATTGGTCAATTCAGAGGTTTGGCATGTGTGATGCATAGAGAACGCCGTGGTAATGCATATTGTGCATTAGACCGGGCCAAAAAAATCAACTATTTTTTTTTTAAATGTATATCAAAAATATGGTTTGGGGCGACAAAAAAAATTATTGTGAAAGTTTGAGTCCATAATATTAATATTAAGAGGTCCATCATCGCAATTTTAATTTTTTTTCTCTCATCAAGTTTTTGTCTCAGAACTCCCAAACCATTGAGTTTAACAAAATTTACTTAAAAATATTTTTTTAAGAAAATTAAATTCTCTACAAAAAAGGTAAAATGAAATTGTCAGATGAACCGTTTCCTTAATCATGCCCTAAACATTCTAAAATATTCTTATGTAAAATCAAATGCTTTAAAAAAAAAGCGTCCTAACATTTTTGGCTAAAATCACTCAATCAAAAGTTATTCAAGGTTAAAGTTGAAGTCAAAACGAAATTCTTGTCAAATTTAACCTTGAATAACTTTTGATGGAGTGAATTTAGCCAAAAATGTTAGAAGACTTTTTTTGTAGAGCATTTGATTTCCCATAAGAATATTCATCGGTTTTTTTCTGGGTACTGATTTTTACATTAATTACAAAATTCCAAAGTTAAAAGATCAAAATGTAAAACTATACCAATGTTTAGGGCATGATTTTAAGGAAACGGTTCATCTGACTGACGAAAAATTTTATTTAACCTTTTTTGTAGAAAATTTAATTTTCTTAAAAAAATATTTTCAAGTAAATTTTGTTAAACTCAATGGTTTGGGAGTTCTGAGACAAAAACTTGATGAGAGAAAAAAAATTAAAATTGCGATGATAGACCTCTTAATATTAATATTATGGACTCAAACTTTCACAATAATTTTTTTTGTCGCCCCAAACCATATTTTCGATATACTTTTCAAAAAAAAATAGTTGATTTTTTTGGCCCAGTCTATTGTGCATATTGCGTGATTGTATTTATATTTAGTCTATCTGTAAATAAATAAACTATAGATACGTGCATATAAAAATGAACCTTTTTTTCTTTATGAGCTCTAATAAAGATGTTTTTAAACCGTAATTAAATAGTAATAAGACAAAATGGATATATGTTTAAGTTAAGTTAATTAAATTAGGCTAAACAATATACAGGGTGTCATGTAATCATTGTAATATATTAAAATGGGTAGTTCCTTAGGGTCCATAAAGAAGCACCTGAAACTTTTGTTTTCTAAATTGTTTTCTAAATTATAAAAATAATTTAAAATAACCTTTATCCTACCAAAAAGTACGCCACTGATAGACTAGGAACTTTAGGCTAATCTAGTTGCCTAATTTAATTTATTATTTATAATGATATGGTTGGTAACAACCAGCGTTTCAAGATTCTGTCAAAAAAGTTGCCAAATTTTGTTTAAATTTAGCTTAATTACAAAAATGACAAAATCAACAATGCAAATTGTTAATTTTGGGTTTTTATTAATTGTTTATTATGTCATTTTTGTAATGAAGGTAATTTCAAACAAAATCTGTCAACTTTTATGACAGAATCTAGTGCATTTCTTTTAAATTTTAGGTTATCTGCTCAAATTGTAAATATCTTAACTAAGGGAAGTGCTTTTAGATTTATTTACACAAATTAAATGTTTAAAGTTTAACCTGTGAACTTGTCCTAATTTCATCTGAGTAAACATAAAGAAAAAAACCGATGAAAAAATTAATTTTGTGTTTATATAGTTTTTAAAATAGGTACTAAATTTTCTAATCATTGCTTAAGCTAATAAAAATTTGTTGGTTGGTATCTATGTACTCACAGAACACAAGTGTGTAACCAGTGGCGTATCACAAAAATATAAAAAACTTCTAATAAATATTTTTCTTTATCCTTGGGAAAATATTTTCCGTTACACCCTATGTCAAAATGTATTCAGTATTTTAATATATTACATTAATTACATAACATATTAACATATTACATATTTTTTAACCCATTTGAATTACTTTAACTTTACTCTATTATCCATGTTATCTTATATTATTAGTTTAAAAACAAGAAAAAGTATTTTTTAAATTTATAAATGTTTTATTAATAATAATAACACTGTGATATTAAGGTTTGCGAAAGGGAATGTAATAAAACCAAAAGTAAATTAAAGTTAATAGTTTCCACAAGAAAACCCTCTAAAGGTTTTTTATATCACGTTTCAGATCTTTTTTTGTACCCATTTAAAGATGATAAATGTTTTGAAACTCTTTAGTAGGAAAAAATTAAGTAAAACTATGGCAATTTGATCGAGGAATCCATTTGTAATGATAAATTTTACCAAATACCCTCAAAAGAGGACGCTATCATAGAATTTTTGCTACTTTTTACGTATTTTAATTGGTAAAATGGTATTTTTACTATTGTTGAAGGTGAGAAATCCATTTTTGTCATCCGTTTGTTGTAAAATATACCCTAGGTGATATTCGAAAGCAATTTTTAATATTTTTCATATATTAGTATAGAAAACTTGTTTTTTAGTAAAAAATTGACTTCTTAAACTAAACAATATTAAATTCACTATTTTATTTATATTTAAAAACCGGCAGTAACACGAGTTGAAGTACCAGAAGTTCCAGCTACTGGATCTACATCCATTGCTTCATCTTATTCTGGTAATTTATCATTACTTTTTTCTTCATCAGCTAGCATAACATCGAGATGTTTGCCTTTATATCTGGATTCCATCGGCAATGCTACTTGATGAAAACATTCACCTTGCTTGTCAGATTCAGATGCCAATTGTTTTTTTAAAATAATCCAGTTCTTCAAATGATCTCAACATATTTTTAACTTTTATTAAACATACCTACAAAATAAAAAAAAATGTAAATACATTTTTCTAAAATATTTATTTTATTTGTATACCTTATTTTACTTTAGCAGCACTAATCGTGGAAATTTAGATCTTTATGTAGTATTAGCTTGTCCTTCTACAGGCAATGCTTTAACAATGTTTTTGAAAATACCTAATTTTATATGAAGCTGTGGTAGTGATACTTTATCTGGTGATATAAGCTCCAATAACATAATGATGTCTGTTGTCCCAATCACGTTTTTGGTATTGATTGCCTTTGTATAGAGTATTCCATAAACAAAGGAAGCACATATTTTTTGTGTAACTTCCTTGTAAACCAAAAACCAGTGAGCTCATTTTTAAATCACAGCAAAGACGCCATTTGTAGTTATCATGTGTTTGTTTTATAAGCTATCGGAATACTTTTTATTGTTGTAGTACAACAACAGTGCTTTTAAACTTGTTTTTAAAGAATCCATTAACAATCTCCATTTATGAGGAACATAATTAATATTCATTTCTGTAATAAGTTTTCCAATATCATTACAGTTGACGAATGTATTTTCAGCGTTAACGGTAAAATATTGAAATACGGTATGACGATTACCAGTTATTTTCACACTAGACTGTAATAAATTGTTTTGTTTTAGTTTTTGTGCTAGATATTCTGAATCACGCTTTGACAAATTTAAATGTCTTAGCACTTCATCCAACCATTGTTGTGATATTGCCAATATCATATTGGTATCATTTGATTACTAGTTTCAGATAGAGTGAAATCGGGATCTGCTTGAATGTAAATGTATCTGCAATGGTAGTGGTCATTAACAACTATCAACATGGATTTAGACAAAAACGATCAACAACCACAGCCTTGCTACAAGTAATTGAAAAAATAACCACAGGTTTTGATAAAAAGGACATAACCAAAATGGCTATGTGTGATCTAAGCAAAGCCTTCGATACCATATCACATCAAATATTGCTTCAAAAACTAAACCACTATGACATTAGAGGATTACCCAACCAACTAATAAAGAACTATTTAAAAAATAGAAAACAATCGGTTGAATGGACCTATTATTTTCATCATTTACATAAACGACCTTGCGTACATCACAAACAAAAGTGGTATTTTTCTATATGCAGATGATACCTCCCTCCTAGTAAATGGCAAAACTAAGGACATAGTAAGCAACTCACTAGATCAAGTTATGACTAAGGCCAAAACCTGGTTTAGTGCAAATAAACTTCAGCTGAATGAAACAAAAACACAAGTTCTTACTTTTAATACTCAACACCAACGTTCAACAGCAAAGTTCCTGGGAATTCATATTGATACCTCCCTCTCTTGGTCAAAACACATACAACAACTTACCAAAAAACTGTCAACAGCAATCTACAGCATTAGAAGAATGAAAAAAATAGCAAGTCATGAAATAGCAAGAATGGCGTACTTCTCAAACTTTCATTCTATTGCTTCATATGGAATCTTGTTATGGGGAACTTCAAATGAAATTATGTGTATTTTCAAACAGCAAAAGAAAGCTTTAAGAATACTATGTGACCTTGGGCACATGGAGAGCTGTCGAGAGTCTTTTAAACAGGAAAAAATTCTCACCATACCAAGCGTTTATATATTTACCACCTTAAAATATGTATACGAAAACATAAACAATTACACAAAGAACAGTGATATACATACCTGTAATACTAGAAGAAAAAACGAACTCCACCTACCATTCCATAGACTAAAAAAAAAACAAAATTACGCTGACTACTGGGGTGCCAAGCTCTTCAACAAACTTCCAGAGGAAATAAAGGGCCTGCCTTCAAGGAAGTTTCCGCCGGCTGTGAAAAGCATCCTCACTAGAAATGCCTTTTATACCTGTGAAGAATTCTTAAACTGTCAAAATCTGTGATATATGTACTAAATAAATAACTATGATATATTGTTTGTAACTTATATGTATTGTAATAATATTTGTATATGTATGTGTAGATTTTATACTTTTATACTTTTACTTACCTTTATACTTACTTTAATACTTTAATACTTTTAACGATGACTTACCATGTAATTTTGATGGTTAATATATATATTATTATTATTATTACAACCAGTAAAACTCTGTATGTGGTTTTGGTAATTTTGCGTATCTTATATTGCATGTTTTTTCGAGTTTTACTGTTTCTTCCTTTAAAATTATTTAAACACACATAACACTGTAATTGATCATGTTCATCTAAAAATTTACAAAAATGCAAAATATAATCAATATTATCAAAAATACGAATAGAGAATCCATGTTTTAATATAAAAATAAAAAGAATACCTAGATTATATTACAACATTGGAATTTTATTTACTTCTTTTTTTTGTGACCATCTGCAAACTTTTCTAGGCTCCAAATCAATATTTTCAATTATATGTATTCCGCAATATTCTAGGTACAAATGTTTTACATTTTCATATTTTGTTTTCTATTATATGGTCCACAAATATAACAAAAATATTTTAAATGCTTCAAACATTCATTTATTTTAAATTTTAATAAGTTTGTAATGGTACAACCCCCCCCCCCCCAGCAATTAATCTGAAAAAGTTACACCCCAATGGAATATAACACCACGGAAAATGTTATATTAAATTACGACAAATAAATAAAACAAATACTTACGGTATTAAAGCTCATTAATTTAGCAACCCAAGGTACTTTTGAGGTGGGGAAAGTATTAAACAGGAAAATTATAAATACAGTAAATAAAAGACAATAAATTACTTTTGAACTTAGGTCAAACACTCGGAAGGCTCGCGTTTATTTTTATATAAATACCTCTCATAAAACATTCCAAAATGAGGGATTATGGGAGAGAGAAACGTATAAAACACTAAAATTTATAACAAACAATAATGATATTTATTTGGATAAAGCAACAACAATAACCGTAACCCAAACGACATTTAATTTATTTTCTGCGACCACAACCCACATATATAATATAATATAAATAAATATATAAATACCATTAGATACATCATACTAGAGCTCAGCTGTCGTATGTGTTCCTCGTTTTCATTTTTAATTTGTTTGTTTGTTTGCTTATTTGTTGGATGAAAGTAGATTGAGTCTTAGTCTCTATTTTTGAATTTTAAATTTAACTTTATCCGTTAAGTATTCCATCTGCAATAAGCCTCCATCCTCCAAATAAAGTATTTGTAATTATTTACTGTTAAGTTTAAGTTTACTGTTACACAATTTTTCATGTAATATTTATTAGAGTTTAGGCTCAATCAACTGTTAGAATAAGCAGTAAATAATAATCGGCTTCGAGGTCATTCCAATTGAGGGTCCAATTGTCCATTAGGCCTTATTACTTAATAATTACCATAAAATACTATGTAATAATTTGACCAAATCACAAAAGGCAATGTCTGCGTTGAGCATTCAGATGAATCCATACCTTTACACACTTTAACTAATTACGGGACATAAATCTGAATCTGCGAATACAATTTAATAAATGCCGTATTTAAGAAAATCGATATTAATTACACTTAATTTACAAAGCGTTTATGGTAAATCCCCGTTAAGAAATATTTATTAAAATAATTAAATAAACTCAAGCACAATCCTGACATTTAGCTAGATAAAATTCAATACAACCCTGACCTTTTAATTAGGTACAATCCGGTACAACCCTACCCTTTTAATTAGATAAAATCCCATACAAATTATTTATAATTTAGAATCTAAATTATAATACGAGATAGTTCAAACGTACATTTATATCATTCCGATTAGAAACGTGGTTTATTTAAAACGGCAGCCATCATGGCGGAATAGACATGTCTATTCCGCCATGATGGCTGCCGTTTTAAATAAACCACGTTTGTAATCGGAATGATATAAACTGCAGTTTGATGAGGCCAAATCAATTTAAACAAGGCATTTGTGTAAATTAATTATATCAAAATGTTCGGGAATATTTATACTACAATAAATTAGTTATTAAAATGTACAAACCTACAAATTTCAACACTTTTACGTTCACCAAATTTACACATCTTGTTCGTTGCACGGGTTCTTCTCGAATGATTCTCTGTTCTCCCCTGCCCGTCTTGAGTGTCGTATTCTTCCCCCTTCCTTTTCCCACCTAAAACAGGAGTACCCGTCTACCCAATCGTTCGACATTCTACGTCAAATGCATTTCTACTTCCCGCTAGATTTAAATGTTAAATGACTTTTTAAATCCATTTATTTTAAACAATTAGGATCGTATTAACCCACGAATTGTTTAGTAGGGGGTGGTTATTTTCAGATCTCCTCAAGTTTAATTAATTATATTAATTAAGAAGAACACTTTATGTTGCTGTCACTGACTTTTTAAGTAAACAAATCAATTTTACCTTTAAACAACGTCGTTTTTGCTACAAAAACTACAATTTTTTGTAGTAATATATTTTATTGTTTTTAAGTATAAATAAATTTACGTATTTAAAAATAATAACATGTTTTTTGGTTAAATCATTAAAGAGAATATATTTTTTTATAAAAAAAAATTTCTAGTAAAAATGCTATTTACTTAAAAAAATATGTTTATGTACTAATATATCAAAAATAATAAATATTGCTTTGTAGATCATCTAGTGTATATATTTACAAAGTGGATTTCTCAGTGTCAAAAATAATAAAAATATAATTTTACCAATAAAAATACTTGGGTCATTCCACGTTACTCGGGGATTTTTGTCCCGCCCGTCACAATTAAAAATTGTGAGTAAAAACTACAAGTTATAAAATTTATTTAAAAATATTGTTTTATTATGCTTTTAATAAGTTATAAGCACAATAAAAATAATATTATTAAATATTAATTTTATAACTTGTGGTTTTTACTCACATATTTTAATTGTGACGGGCGGGACAAAAATTACCGAGTAACGTGGAATGCCCCACTTACAAATAGCAACAATTGAGTAACAGCTCCCCCTACAGTAGATTTTAGGTAAAAATTAACATAATAAATGGATTCCTCGACTATATTGCCAGAATAATTTAAAAAAATTAAAATTGTTTTATTTAATATAGGGTGTCCAAAAATCTACCAACTTTAAATGCGTATAATAAACAACTGAGACGTGATCTAAAAAAACCTAATAGGGTTTTATTGTAGAAGCTATTACCTTTTTTGGTTTTATCCCATTCCCTTTTGCACTGTTGCACTGTATAATTAAGGGCCTTAAAATACGTGGGGTGTAAGAGCGGCTACCCTGTTAAGCACAAAATGCCTTTATTTATATCTGCAATTATAAAACCCAATAAAAGTAACTAAAAAATATAATAAATGATACTAAATTTAAATATAATAATTTGTTAAATATATAGTAAGAGTTAATTTAAAAAAATTTCAAACTTTCCTGCAACATGGACAATTAAAAATAAATTTAAAACATTATGGCATGAATAGTTATAAAATATAAATTTTTATTTTTAGGTGGAAATGTTATATCAACGATATTTTTTAAAAATGAACCAAAGTAGTATGACTAATTTAATAACATTGCTTTTACTCCTTTGCATTGGTTTTTTATTTTCATCTTCAACAGATTTTATAATAATAAAACATTCGGATTTATTTAGAAGCTCTACAAATCGACTTGATAAGCTACTGGTTCTTATGAGTACATCTGGATGTTGTATTGCGATTTATGGAGGTATGTGCTATAACCTATAAATAAACAATACAAATCATATATAATAAACCATACAAAGTATGTTTTTTTAGTCCTATTGACTTATATTAACACTATTTGGATTTTTTTCCGTAAATTATGATAACATAATATCCGCCCGTGAATAATGAACTCATTACTTCCGTTGTTAGGCGCCGATTTCATTATTCACTGTTATTTGGACCGGGTTTTAAATTAGGAGAAAATGAGGTTAAAACCGTCTGACAGATGTATTATTATTACATTTTGTTATTTTTGAAGTATTCAATCAAAAGTATTACACTCGAGTTTATGGGCATTATTTACTCAGGTGATCTTATATTGCTAAGTAATTGTTCATCTTTCTCAAACTAAAAATGATAATGCAATGTTAATATCTGCTGATAGTATGTCTAAAATTAGTACTAATTTTGTTCTGTCAACAAACGCAAATTGCCCAAACTCTTCGCATTGCAACAGGAGAAAGAAATTGTTTGAGATAAATATAAAGAAAAACTTCAAGCTTTGAATCATTCTCTTGACTCTCACTTTGACATAACAAAATGTCAATTGATTGGCACTAAAGCAGGCCAAGTAACGAATTCTGAAGAGTACGTTGTATTTTGTAAAAATATTCAAAAATTGATTGACGAAGTTTTACGTGAAGTAAATCAAGCACATATAAAAATTGGTGCAGATAGTGCTGGAAGTATTTTAAAAATAACTTTATCCATTCAATCGTTAGATTGTGAATCGATGTATTTAAATGATTATAAACGGCAAAGATACATTGAAGGAGTAGCTGCGAAAAAGTTCAAGGATTCTGAAGTAAATAAATTATTTTTGATCGGCTTAACTCAATTTTCTGAAGAAAATCATAACAATTTAAATATTTTATGGGATTTATTACACCTAAAAGATTTTGATGGACAAATTTCAGCAGATTTGAAATTATTAAATATATTGATTGGTCTAATGTCTCACAGCAACATGTATCCTTGCGTTTGGTGTACCGCACACAAAAATAACTTGAACGTTTTGGGTACTTTAAGAACTATAGGGAATTGTATTCAAAATTTTTAAGATTGGAAGAAAAGTGGAGGAGAGAAACAGAATTGTAAAAACTTTAAAAATTGTTTAAATTTACCTATAATTTCATCAAATAAAGAAAAAAAAAAAAAAGTGTAAGTCGAGAAATACTTTACAGAAATGTAGGTTATGTTGGAAATTCGAGTAAAATATTATTGAACAATGTTGACATTCTATAGAATTTCATGTATTCGTGAAATTTGATCGTCAACAAGTAACTTTCTTGTATGAAATATGTAAAATGTTTCGAATCATTTAAGAACGTTGTCGATTCTTGTTTCTCAATCAAATTAAAAGAAGGATATCTTGAGAAGATTGCGATATTTAGAGAAAGTTTTATGAGTTTAGACATAGACGTAACACCAAAGGTTCACAAGTATTTTTCCATATAGAAGATTTTTATACACAAAACGACAAAGGGTTAGCGTTTTATTCAGAACAAGCGGTGGAATCATCTCACTCAGACTTTAATAAAATATGGAATAAATACAAAGGGTAATTCCATTTATTAGCCACCAATGAGTGCACCTCATATACTCTAATTTTATTTATTTTTTAACTGTAAATAGACATGGACCCAAGAAGTGAAAAAAACTCCCCTTTTCTTTTCTCCCCCTATCACCTATTTATACAGGGCTACGCAAAAGTTACTATGCAGACCTAACTTAAAAAAATTGTACTTTTTTTGCTAATAAAGCTATCGACATTAAACAAACTGTTAATTGTTAAGAAAATATTTCTCTTTTAAACCATATAGGACACATTTAGTTATTGATGCCCTAAATGGTCTTTGGGAATTTTTTTAAAAATGCAATTTTTTGTCAAAATTGTCTAATTTTATAAATTCATATATTCTTAGAACAACTTGCCAGCAAAATTTTTTTAATGTAGTTTGTTAACATAGATCTTACTCTATATAAAAGCAATGAAAACATTTTCAAATAATATTGGCTAAGAGTTCAAAAAAATATAATAAAAATCCATGTTTTCGAAAAATCACTATTTTCAGCCATTTCATGGTTTAAAAAGGCTATGTTTGAGTGAGTCGATTTAAACCAATTTATGCTTATCATCACATGCACTTATTAGCCTCCAATAATCATTAATAAAATTATTGTGTATTTTGCTTTTAACTGGGCTGTGGCTATATGTACAGCCCAGCTATAAGCAAAATACACAATATGCCACCTGACTTTCAGCCATTTCATGATTTAAAAAGGCTATGTTTGAGTGAGTCGATTTAAACCAATTTATGCTTATCATCACAGGCACTTATTGGGCTCCAATAATCATGAATAAAATTATTATGTATTTTTCTTTTATCTGGGCTGTGGATGTATATGTCCACCTGTGATATATCCATATTATTAACCATATATTATTAACCACATATTTCGAAAAAGCGAATTGCATAGATGCAGTTATTTTAAAGATCTTTAAAATAACTTGACAGCCTTGAATTGACTTCTAATTCATTCTAAATAAAAATATAAAATATAAAAACCACATACAGTGGCGTCGAAAATTAACTACCCATTTATTTATTTTTTAAATTAAAAAACATAATCAAATGTACAAAAAATTAACTACCCATTTATTTATTTTTTAAATTAAAAAACATAATCAAATGTACAAAAAATTAATTAATTTTTTGTACATTTGATTATGTTTTCTTAATTTAAAAAATAAATAAATGGGTAGTTAATTTTCGACGCCACTGTATGTGGTTTTTATATTTTATATTTTTATTTAGAATGAATTAGAAGTCCATTCAAGGCTGTCAAGTTATTTTAAAGATGCAATACGCTTTTTCGAAATATATGGTTAATAATATGGATATACTCACAGGTGGACATATACATCCACAGCCCAGCTAAAAGAAAAATACATAATAATTTTATTCATGATTATTGGAGACCAATAAGTGCCTGTGATGATAAGCATAAATTGGTTTAAATCGACTCACTCAAACATAGCCTTTTTAAACCATGAAATGGCTTAAAGTCAGGTGGGCATATTGTGTATTTTGCTTATAGCTGGGCTGTACATATAGCCACAGCCCAGTTAAAAGCAAAATACACAATAATTTTATTAATGGTTATTGGAGGCTAATAAGTGCATGTGATGATAAGCATAAATTGGTTTAAATCGACTCACTCAAACATAGCCTTTTTAAACCATGAAATGGCTGAAAATAGTGATTTTTCGAAAACATAGATTTTTATTATATTTTTTTGAACTCTTAGCCAATATTATTTGAAAATGTTATCATTGCTTTTATATAGAGTAAGATCTATGGTAACAAACTACATTAAAAAATTTTTGCTGGCAAGTTGTTCTAAGAATATATGAATTTATAAAATTAGACAATTTTGCCAAAAAATTGCATTTTTAAAAAAATTCCCAAAGACCATTTAGGGCATCAATAACTAAATGTGTCCTATATGGTTTAAAAGAGAAATATTTTCTTAACAATTAACAGTTTGTTTAATGTCGATAGCTTTATTAGCAAAAAAAGTACAATTTTTTTAAGTTAGGTCTGCATAGTAACTTTTGCGTAGCCCTGTATAAATAGGTGATAGGGGGAGAAAAGAAAAGGGGAGTTTTTTTCACTTCTTGGGTCCATGTCTATTTACAGTTAAAAAAGAAATAAAATTAGAGTATATGAGGTGCACTCATTGGTGGCTAATAAATGGAATTACCCCAAAGTAAAAAAATCGCATCCCCAATATGCAAAAAAATTACTTAAAGCTGTATGTGAATACAATAGTAGACACCTTTAATTAGTTATAATGTATATATCAAACTTGGATATTGTTTAAACACAAAATTGTTTCTTTTTATAAAATAAAATGTGTTTCCTTTTTTTATAAAAAAATCTTTTATTACAAAAAAGGTCTAAAATAAATTAAATATAACATAATACATATATTATATCAAAAGTATCAATTTTTCTAAGGTATCCGTTATTTCGAAAAGAACTTTCTTCTTCGTTTTACATAATAGACATAATTTTAAAGGACACTCACTCTATGATAGTGGTTGCTTATGACTTAAATTTATTGGTTTCATTTTTTAAATATTATTGAATTTTAATAAATAGCTCGCTTTGGATGTTAATAGTTCTGAGTCTCAAGACACACTAAAATCAAGAGGAAACAGGCGCTTGTGGTTACGTAACTTTTTGAAATAAGTCAAAATAACTGTCAAAATATTTATTTCAAAATAAATAAACCCGTCTTTAATAAAACGTAAAAATTGCTCTTTTTTTGACGTAGTTAGTGTATCTAACCTCTTAAATAATGTTCGTATATTTAATAAGGCAAAAAAATGCGTTCAGGGAAATATTTTAATTTTTTCATTAATTATTTATTAAAACCATGTAGAATCATTCCCCGTTTATAACTTTGGGGTTCTCGAACATCTAACTTTTTTAAACCACACAGTGAAAGGTATGAAACTAAATTTATTGGAGTCTTTGGAAATTAACAAATTAAAGAAAACTGATATTATTCTCAATATCCAAATAGAAACCAAAAATTCCCCGCTATTAAACTTATTTTAATATATTCAAAAAGTATAGTTTTATATAAGTTATATAACACTATATAGTTACATAATATAACTATAAAGATTACAGAGCATTCCCATAATTATTGTTCCTTTATTTTATAACGCCAATTTAATCTACCCCCAATATTTTCCTAAAAATATTACCTGTAAAACCATCATATATATCAGCGGTTCTTAACCTTTTTGGCTAGCGACCCACAATTCAAAAATATTAGAAGCTCGCGACCCGATAAAAGAAAATCATCAATTTTCTACATTTTCTTTATTTAAAGTAAGTTAAATTTTTTTTAGTAATCAACTAACACAAATCCCGCAAGTCCCGCGACCCATCTCGATATGGCCCGCGACCCAAATTTGGGTCGCGACCCGAGGTTAAGAAACGATGATATGTATAAATAGAACATTAATATTAGTTTGCTTATGATCTGAAGATGCTACCGTGTAGCGAAACAATTGTCATAATTAAATAAAATAGTGAAACTTTTAAATAGTGTAGTTTATATTATATTAACATTATATCAACATGGAGTTTCATCAAGTAAAAGTCGAAACAATTAATCAAATTAAAAAACATTTCAAATAATGTAACTATTCCTTATACCTAAAGTTAATAGGTAATTTCAGAGATATTTAAAAAAAATTAAAATTTTAAATATTATTTTAAAACCTGTTGACGGTATCATTTTTCAAGTTATAAACAACTTGTTGACTAATTAAGTGTTTTGTAAAAAAAATTACTAATAAAAAAGCAGGCATTGAATTTTAAAAAACATTGACAAGCCAAAAGTTTTTAAAATTTAAAAGTAATACTAATAGTATTTGCTAATTTTGAAAAAAAAGTCAACAAAGCTGTAGAATGTCAACTAGATGAAGCACTAGCTCATTGGAAACAATAAAATATAAAATTTATTTATGAAACATTTTAATAACAAAAAGAATGCGCAACTGTAAAAATTTAATAAACCAACAATATTTTAATTAACAATTTGTATTACTAATTTATTACTAAATGTTCATAGTGTCCTCCATTTACATTTAAGCATTTATTAATTCTTACTTCTACATTAGATGCTCTTCTTGACTATTCTGGGTTTAATATTAGAATCTGTTAAATATCTCTAAAATTATTAAATTTATTTATAGGGAATAATTACATCAATCGAAATGTTTTTTTAATTTTCTATTTGATTATGTAAAATCATACAGAGTATTTCATTTAAACTAAAAAAGTTATTAACGTTTTAATTTGCCCTGGGTAATTCGTTAAAGAATTGATATGAAATCTTTTAAATAATGTTTTAAGATTCCAAACATTTCACCCCCATATCCTAAACCTAATAGCAAAAAGTAATTGACTATTTTTGATTGACGCGCATTTGTCAAATATTAACTAAAAAAATTAATAACTCGAAAACTATTCACTTTAGGTATAGGACATGGTATAGTTATTTTACTCCTAATTTTATGTAGAATTTAAAAATATATGGGGTATTAGTTAAAATAACAAAGTTGATGTCACTTCCGGTCAACCCGGAAGTGGCATTTTGATAAAATATTTTAGAAAAATAGGCCTAATTGGATTATAAACGCTTAATCAAATTTCAAATCGATATCTTTTGCCGTTCCTCAGAAACCATGGAAATCCATGGACGACGAACGTGAAACATCCGTATTTAGGAAATGTGCAACACCCTCTATACTCTATAATGAAAATAATTTTAAAATAAATTAAAATTTTTAATGGTTGTCCATTTATTCAGTAAATAAATTTTTCTTAAAAATCTAGCTGTAAGCAAAGCTATTATGTAATCGAAGCTATTATATGCCGATTACCGTGGATAACATTTTATTGGATCGCACTTATAAAAAAAACATGACGTGATCTAAAAAAACGCCTAGACATGGGTATCATTATCAAAATCTATAGGACTTTTTCATGTGAAGGAAAAAATCAAATTTTGTGTAACTAGTGTTCTCTATAGTAAAGCCTAATGTGAAGCTTTTTTTTACTGTGTATAGTAGCCGTAACCTTTAAGTTTATGAAATCCTCTAAAGTCAATGCCAATTTGTCACATAAATCCGAGTTTTATAAATAGGTTTTATGTTAAAGTGATTTTTTCAATCCCCTAATAGCGATAAATTATAAATGTAAAAAAATAAACTTGTTTTTTATCCACTAAATCCAAATCCATTTATTTTTAAAATAACTTAAAAAAATAATTATTACAATAAATATTATTATAATTATATAATTAATTATAATAATAATTGTTATTATATTATCATAATTATAAATAAACTTATTAATTTAAAATAAATTGTTACTTAATATTTTTTCAGCATGTACCAATTATAAATGCCTATTTAAAAAAAATATTTTATTTTATATTTTTTAGTTCTTCTGGCCGTTGTATCGAAACCAGCAATGAACGAAGTTTACCTTATAATAATCTCCTATTTTATATTGCTGACATTTTTAACATTGGAGGTGAGTAAAAAATGTACAATTACAGAAAACATTGATTTAGGACTGCAAGTTTATTACCCGAGATCCAATCTTCGAGTAGCCGTCCTCTTTCATTGACTGTATTTGAGCCTTGGATAGGAGTTTTCGTATTTAGGACTCCTCCAATTAAAACTGGCTTTTTGCTGCGCCTAATGTACGCTTTCATATTTTGGAGTAGTTTGACAAAGTCTTCAGTGTTGCCGTTTAGCGAGAAATGACACGAACATACTGGTTGGAACACTAGTTCAACGAACACAAAACCGAAGTTTTTATAGCATGTATTAACATTTATATCCTTATATTCTATACCTATATAGCTATTACAATATTTATCATAGCATTCTTTTGTTATTTTACTTCTGTTTGGCTCATGTCTAACTATCACGTCGAATAGTCCCTCTTTCACACCGGTTAAGGCAATACACTTATTTAATTGTTTGATCTAGCTGGTATTGTGTGACGGGGACACCTCTCCACGTCGCGTCGTGTATTTAACGCTTTTTTTGTATGTACCCCACCCATTGGAGCTTGATATGTGCCCTGGTGTATCGCAGCTACTACTGTGTGGCTTATATCAACATTTGTTGGCCGTGGCTTTCTTTGCAGCATTTGTTGAACTTGTTGGACCTCTCTAAGAGGCTCTCTTTTATACATTTTTTGCCATCTGCCCTATATTTTAGCCACCCTATTCTAATCCTTTCTTGTTTAAGGAGGCTCAATACAGGATTATGGAATCATTACTCTGGTAAGCGAATACCAGGGTGTCCTGTGCTTTTGTACCTTGATTTGATCAGTTGTACGGTTGCTTTACGGCTATTGCTTTTTAATGTCTTCCTCATCAGGTAGGTTATTTATTAGGAACTCTTTTTGGTTTGGGATAGTATGGCTTTTGCCGTTGATTGCCTTTTAGAACGCTTTGGCATTATCCTGACCCGGATCTGTCTGTTGATTTTTCCGCCTACTGTGGTCACCCTCACTCCCAGTGTCTCAGTGTAAATTTCGTCGGTCATGGTTTTGAAAAGGTCCGAGAATGTTTTTGTTCACGCTTGGTTTGATTTGTTTTTTCCCTTTGTTGGTTTTGCGAATATAGAAGCTTAATGCAATTCAACTGAACCCAATAATACTGGATCCTTTTATACCAAATAGCTAATCGTATTGCCTATAAATAATAAAAATACAATTATTTTTAGATCTGCATATCATTTTTCTCGGAGCATGAGCGGCCCTTAGTTGGAATGATATTTTCATTGGCATCAACCTATTTAACATACGCTCTTATGCCTATTCGATTAAAGGATGCTTTATTGGCTGGTATAATTATGGCAACTACACAAATTATTCTACTCTTAAATGTTGGAAAAGTAACAAATTTTATAGAGGTAAGAATGTATTTAAGAATTAAGTTAAAATTCACACATTAAATTTTACACATAAAAACTATCATTCTTTTTTTATTATTTTAAAGTAAACATTCAGGAAAATCTTTCACCACAAATAAAATTATCCAGATCTGATCCTAAAATTTTTTTAAACTTATATTCCACGGCGAGTCTTAACTTGACTCCTTCTGATTTTTTTTACGCAAAATTTGTGAATTTACACAAATTGTAGTTTAAATTTTTTAAGTAATTTGCAACGTTTTTGGTTATAATTTGTTCAAAACTGCTTATCATTTTATTTACTTAATAAAATGAAAAAAAAACAACAAATAAAACAATGTTGGCAATCTTAAATAACCCTAATAAATTGGGGTCGACAGAGAAAATTCCTTTAGAGTTAAAATTCAAAATAATTAATGAATGCCAATTAGAAGCATAGTTGAAAAATGAATGAAGAAATTAAATATTTTTTTAGTTGGTTACAATGGCGTTTCCAAGTTTTTTGTAGTGATGGCACTTCTACCAAATAAGTTTTTTGCCCTATTATTTTTGTAACAGTTCCTTTAACAAATGTTGACTCGTTAACATTTTTGGAATTTTTTACTAAAATATTTTCTCCTATACTAAAATCTATAATTCCACTAGGCCTATTTTTAATTGTTTGCACTGAGCCATTTCAACCCTCTTGCGAACCTGTTTTATATTTAGCTTAATAATCGAACTTTCGTTAAATCCGGCAAAAGTTAAGAAAAACAAAACAAAAAAATTTCTACCGGACATAAGTACAGCCGGACTGACCCCCGTAGTACAGTGTGGTGTTATTTGATAATCAAAAATAAATTTACACAACGCAGAAAAGCCTTCTTAAGGGCATTTTTAGCAGTTTTTACAAAGTTCTCCGCAGCCCCATTTGACGCGGGACAGTAAGGTGGGCTCGTAAGATGCTTAATATTATTTTTAGCTAAAAAGCTTTTAAAATGTTCTGAAACCAAAGAGCTTATCTGAGACTATTAAAGTTCAAAGTCCAAAAGTGCAAAACAACCTTCTTATTACGCCCACTGTCTGCCTTGAATTAATACTAGTCATTTCAAGAGCTTTCAGTGTAAGCATCTAAAACTACCAGATAGTTTTTTTTCCTTTAGTTCAAAATAATCAAGATGTAGACTTTCCCATGGACTGGTTGGCCAAGGCACGGGGCCAATTGTGATTTTTGTAAGCTATTTGCATGAACCCATGTAAGTTAAATGTAGCTCCTTTAAAATTGTATGCTGTAGTGACTTGGAAATGACTAGTCTATGATTCCATAGTATGCAACCGTCCCTTACGCAAAAATCAAACCTTTTAGCAAAATATGGCTTTAGCTCCGGATCTTTTAAAAGTTTTGGCCACCCTATTTTAATGGAGCAGTTTCTTTTTTATGAGTTTCAAAATTTAATATGATACCATTATTATTTGAGAAAAAACAGCAATAATTGACATCCAGCTGATCTTCACTTAAAGATTCGTTTTTGTTATCCGCGGGCATACGGGACAACCAATTAGCATTATTTTTGTTACTTTTAATGTATTCAATTATTATATCCTAAAAAAATACTGACCAACTTCTAAGCAAATTTGCTGAAAATTGTGAAATAATTTATTTATTATAACCTAATAATATTTTGGCAAAAAATTCAGAAAATAATAGACAATAATAGACAAGGTTCTAGAGGCAAAAGCTATACATCAAAGCTTTACATCACCTGAAGGGTATTTGTGGTTTAATACGGAAAATATTCTCAAATTTGAGGCATCTACCGTTAACCTAAGTTCTAAATTGCGATCAAAATGTGCGAGCACTGGCTATGACTTTTCTTTAACACGTACAAAAGCTTTATCACACAGGGGTGTCCAATCCAATTTAACCTTCACTTTTAACAAATTGTACAGTGGACTTAAAATAGTAGACATATTTTTAATAAATTTACCATAATATTTTATGGCAACCCTTCTTTTTTATAACAAACTCCAAGTACTCAACGCTCTTTTTAAAAAAATTGCACTTCTTAAAATTCACCTTTAACCCTGATTCTTGTAAAATAGTTAAAACATTTTTTAAGTTGTCTATATGTGAAATGCACCTGGTAAATGCCCAAGTAGTACATAAACGGTTGTACCTAAAAAATAGACCCAAATGTGTAGAAATAGATAAAAGCTCCTTACTCTCGTCATCTATGCCTATTTGCTAGTATTGCGACAAATCAAGCTCCATTCTTCCCTGCAGCTTGCAGAAAAGCTCTTTGATTTTTGGAAGGGGATGCTGGTCCACTTCAATGACTGGGTTAACCGTGACCTTAAAGTCTACACAAAATCTGACGTCACCATTCTTTTTAAAAACTGGCCCATTAACTGTACTCTACTGCCGAAATAATACCTAAAATCAAAAGTAGTTCAATTTCTGTTTCAACTTGGATTCAACCTGGATTTAATAGCGAATAGCTTTTATAAATTTTGGTAGTACACTCCTTTAAATACATTTTTTCTAAACCTTTACTAAATAAACCCAAACCCGGAGAAAATACCTTAGGAACTCTTTGACTAAATTTTCTGTTAAACAATTTGTTACATTATTATAAAAAGAAAATCCTACGTTGTACAAATTCAGAAAGTCTCGTCCAACAATTGGTGGACCTCCATTTTTTATCACGTACTATTTAATTTTTTTTCTTTTGTTTTTATAGACAACATTTAAATCTACCATTGTAGGCTTTACTTTTTGTCCATTTACTTTAGGCTTTACTTCTTGTCCATTTTAGAACATAAATATTTTATGCATTCGAATGCAATTTTGAAAATTTTTAAATATAAGTTTTTCGAAAAACAAGATATCCCACTGCCTGAATCAATTTGAAATTGTACCTGCCTATTTTCTACTTATAAGTCTACTGGATATGGGTCTGAACTACCAATATTTTTTTCCAAAATATTTAAAAAAATATGTTCGTCAAAATTGCTTGACCCTACAGTAATTAAGTATAGTTTTTATAGGCACTTATCTTTTGTATGGTTGTTCCTTCCACAAACTTCACACTTGATTTGCTGTTGTTTCTGCCTCTTGCCAAATTTTTTCACTGCTTGGTCGCTGCCGGAATTCTGCGCCGACATGCGTCCCTCCTGCCTCCGGAAGTGGTGGATTTGCTCCTGCTTGATATTAACTTCCTGCTTCGTATCCATAGCCGCCATTTTGGATACCGCCTTACTAATAACTTGGTCAAAAGTACATCAGCGCTCCTTTTTCAAAACCCAATATGAACATTTCTCGTAAAAGTACCTTAAGTTCTGTGCCGAACTCGCAACCAACCGCTAACCCTCGTATTCTTGCAGCCCACTGGCTCACCGTCTCACCGCTCTCCTTCTTAACCGCATAAAATTTTTAGCGTGCTTTGAATGGACTTTGCACCGGCTTGAAATGTTTGCTTAATTCATCGACTAATTCCTTATAAGTTTTTTCTTCCGGTTTTTCTGGACTTAATAAATAAAATATTAACTTGTAAGCGTCTTCGTCTAGTGAGTTTAGTAGTATTGCGCCCATTTAAATTGCATCACTTTTTTAAGGGAAAATTCCCGTAAATGTCCAAAATTTTCCGACATATTTAACGCCGGCCGGCAACTTCCAATGAATTCAACTTTTAACTAACTTTTACGTTTTTCTTTAACACTGGTCCCAAAACTACCGAGTGCGCCACTATTGTAATGTATTTAACATTACTTTAATAGTTCCATTTTTGTTCGATGACTTAAATAAAATGCTAATACTATTAGACTTACTTTTATTTGACATCAGAATACCAAGGGCTTGCACACGCACAACATTGCCCACTCGCCAAAGTAGTGGGGGTGGTGCGTGGCGCACTCAAATACACAATATCACACTTATATTCACAAACAGCAGTGGAAAAAGGTCATTTTCAAAATTGAAGTTGATTAAAAACAGGCTTCCAACCTCCATGTTAGAAGACAGATTCAGCATTGAACTCTCGTTACAGTTGGATTGTTTGAAAAAGTTCTTTAGTTTATATGTTCTGCTTTAGGTTTCCACGGGCATTATATGTATTAGTGGTTTTTCAGAATCTGCTCCGTGTTGTCGGTTCTTGGTTCTTAAAAGAACCGTATGTCTGACTACGTTTCGGTACAATTTTATGTACCATCTTCAGGTCTTATCTGCTGGGCTGCTGTTGATGCTCTGCTGCGAGTTAGACGTGGAGTGAGCTCCGTTGCCGCTGATAGTTGTTTATATACCCTCTTAGTTTTCCGCGTCATTAACCGTGACTGCGATTGAACCTGTGTTATGTTCGGCTCCATTGATCTCGTTAATCTGCCTGGCGTTTTGGTGGTTGTAAGAGATGGTTTCCATCCAGTTGGTAGTCTCTGTGTTGAGGTTTCTTGGACGTTTTTCTATTTCAATGGCTTCACGGATGGTACATTTGGTCCTGTGTTCGATGCTATCCAAAACCCTTGTTTTCATGGGAAGTTTTTCGGACGTGTTCAGCTAAGGAAGATGTTTTTTCTTAATTTAAGACTACGTTACGATTTTCTTCGCGTCGAACGTTGATACGTCTATTGATCTGTCACAATTCTTACTAGGAATTTCGTAAACCCCTTGTGCCTCCAACTCTATTTTTGGTTTGGCGTTTGGAAGTATTTGACCGATCTTTCTTGGGGTGGTAAATGTGGTCTCAATGTTATGTTTTTTAAGAACTTTGCCTATTCTTTCGGTTGTCCCTTTTTTCGAAGTTGGTTTGTTGTTCTCCTCCTCTGTGGTATTTAACCGGCGTCGTGTCGAAGAGCCTTTTTTATTATGGATTTGGAGAATCCGTTGTGCTGTAGCGTCATTTGGATTTTTAGGTCTTCTTGTTTCTTGTGGTCATCATCCGCCAGCCTTTCACATCGCATGACAAGTGTCTTAATAACTAACTGCAGTTGTGACGGGTGGTGGTGAGACTGGGCGTTGAGGTAGAGGT